TAAAACACCAAGACACCATAACTAACTTGAATTAAACGCTCTGAGCAAAGAGACAAACCAAGATTCTTGTATCAGATATCAAATAGTGTTCCTAACTCTCTACTATAATTTTAAGAATTAGAGTTCTCATAAAAATAAGCTCTATTCCTATGGTCTTTCTTGAAATTATTTCAACAGCAGCATCCTATGCATTTTGACATAGTTAGATATTAGCTGTGTCATTTGATTTGGCCATTTCATGCAGGTGAATTCACTGGAGAAAGGAATTATATTTGGAAGAGTTAAAGGTAAAAGGAAACCTGGCCACCAAAGAACATGATGGCTGGACACCATCAAAGCTGACACCAATAAGAGCATTGAAAAACTGAAAGAAGTAATTCAATATCAGAATATGTTGAGAAGCCTGCCCCATAGAATCGCCAAGACTTGGACACAACTGAATGGATAACATCATCATCATATAATTGATAATGTTAATATTATACAGTGAAGAGTTCAGTGTATGTAGACAAGCATTCATGAGAGTGGGAACCTAACTTATGACAATTTCCCTCCATTTGTGATTTCAAGACATTACCTGCCAAAGCATTGAATTCAGAACATTATTTTGTCCTTCCTCTGATAAAGTTTTTTGTTTGAGCATTGATGAGCTCATGGATTTGAATGCATTGGCTACAGCATAAACTGCATTGTAGATACTGTAGCTGTGTGGAGTTATGCTCATGTCAAAGACAGACCTAGGAAGAGCCTCTAGCTTCTCCTCCCCACTGCAGCGATTCCAAACATTGTCCTCTTTGAAGGAACAATCAAATGCCTGTCTCCAAAAGTCCTTAATAAAACCATCTCTAATTTCCATATTAGGGTTTCTCATCTGAAGAAAATTGTGGAAACCTACCACTTCCTTTGACTTGGTTGCAAAAGCTAAGGAACCATGAAGGATATCTATATCCCAAAATTGTTGAAAGGGAACAGAAGTGAACTCTATTTGTGCCACCATCATCCAGACTTTACCTGTCTTCATTTGTTTATCTTCAACTTCCAAAATTCTGGGAAACATTCTTAAAAAGATTGTAGTGTGAATTTCACCATGTAAAATCACAACATTGGCACTGCTATCACTTATCAAGACATACAGTTTGACCCATGATTCCATCATTTCATGAATGCCAGTTTTGAAATACACAGTTGGGAATGGTTCTATGAAGTCAAAGCAGATACCATGCTGGGAAAACTTGGGAAGTTCCTTCTGTATAAACCTGAGGCCATTGTCATCCTGTATAAAAAGGATACCAATCCAGGTCCATCTGAAAAGCAAAAGCAGTTGGAGCATCCCCGTATAATGTTGGTTTCTATTAGGGAACATCCATTGGAAGAAGACTTGTTGGGATGGGTCATTAATCACAGGAGAAGATCCATATCCAAGCTACAAAGACAAGAAAGACTAAGTAGGTATGATTTGTGTAGGTAAACTTTTAGTGTCCAAAGGTTGGATATCCATCTCGAATTTTGGGAAAGAATGGAAGATGAAAAGTGATGGGAATAAGTCCTTTTAGAATGGAGCTTGACTTTTCTCTATTTTCCAAAAGTTTTCATTAGTTTTTCACTTCTTATTGCAATAACTACTCATATTCCACAATAAAGACAAATCTCCACCAAAATAATTGCCCAAGAATGGGAAAAGAGATGATTTGACCAAATTAGGACTGTAACAGTAGATAGCAATCCTTTCAGTTTGGACATGGAAAGGGTGCAACATCAATCGGTACTTTTTAAATATGTAGACTATATCAGTCAAGACCATTAACATGATTTGGAGAATGGTGTTATCATCAACCAGAAAGTTGTTTCTGAATTCTTTAAGACAGAATTGGAATATGTTCTTCTAAGGAATTAAATCATACCCTTTCTGGTAGAACTTGAGGTCATATGTTTATTTTAGTAATATGATTTGATAGAATGAGAGAAGAGTATTGATAGCTATAAAAGAAAACAAACCTAAGAATTAGCCAGTTGAATTGTTAAATGTTACCCAAATATAGTTGTGACATTACAATAATATCGATTCGGTCAATGAGCAGCAAAACAACAAAAACAGTGAGGCAAATAGATACAATAATACACTAGCAACTTACAAAATAAATCACATAATAATATAACATTCACTCCCTTATTACTATATTAATACATTTGTAACCCAAATAATCTAAATCTAAAACATTAATAGATATAAGATAAAAACTATATTTCATCTAATGATTTAGTAAATAAGATTAATCAAACCAATAGTAACATTTTAAAAAAGGTGATTAACCAATTTTGTCTTCCTTTCATTTTGGCATCACAACATTTAGCTACTTGCACACATAATGAATGGTTTTAGATCCTGAAGGAGAAGGTTCATATAAAATCTGGACTCCCAGATAATTTATCTATTAGGGCCAAAATGTAGACTGACCTAATGTCCCTATAAAATTTACAGCATAATAATATGTGTGAGATTGTCACCACATTGGCAGACACACTCTTCTATAAGGATTTTACTATAATTGCTTTCAAGAAATGCAGATTGAAGAATGTTGAATTTAGCTTTAAAGAACATGATTCTCAGCTTAGGAAAAGTTAGATTTAGCAAATAACTTGCGGTTTCCCATACACCCCTATTTATCCAAATTCTATCATATTGGGGGAGCGTGTTAACTTTGTTCTGGAACCCCATATTCCTTATTTTTGAGTAAGATAATCCTTGAGTTACACCATTTCATTTAGTGACCATTTGAAGGTGCAAAGGCACTGAAAAAAGTGACTTATGTCTATTTTTCACAATTACTATCGTTGCAGCATCCCTATGATCACATGATCAAAATTCAGTTGCTTGGCAACTGGTTCATATTTATGATGGTTGCTATGCCCTGGAATCACGTGATCATTTTTTTGCAGTCTTTTGACAAGCAAAATCAATGAGGAAGCCAGATTCACTTAACCATGTTACTAACTTAACCACTGCAGCCATTTTCTTAGCAACTGTGGCAGAAAAAGGTCATAAAAGGGGGCAAAATTCACTTAACTGCAGCAGAAATTTTGGGCTCAATTATCACTATAAGTCGAAGAGCACCTGTAATTAATTGCTTTGCTTGATTGTAATCTAATAATATTAAGAATTGCGAAGAGTCCATATAAAGTCAGTTTATAGCATACCATTTATTTACAGGGTGAGGGAAAGTTATCTACTAAAGGAGTCAGACCAGTTAGGAAAAACAGCATTTTAAGCCAATACGTTATCATCTTCTAGTCCAGTGATGGCGAACCTTTTAGAGATCGAATGCCCAAACTGCAACCCCAAACCCACTTATGTATTGCCAGGTGCCGGGTGGGCATGGCCCATGGGGTGGGCATGGCTATGGTGGTCATGGCAGACTGGGTGGGTGTGGCCAGGGTGGGCATGGCCACCTCGATGTTGCTCCTGGGGAGGGATGCCTGTGGGGGCCGGGCAGGGTTGGGAGAGATCCAGGGGGTCTCTGATGGGTGGGGTGGGGGCAGGAGGCTCATCCTGCAGGGTGAGGCAAGGCAAGGGAGGGGACAGGGCAGGGGTTAGGGTTAGGCTGCTGCTGCTTTCCCCCCAGGACGGAGCGCCCCGTCGCTACTCACACCCAGTGTGAAGGTGGAGTTTGGGAGGAAGCGGCAGGGCATAGCCCAGGTGTGGCCCAGCAGCAGCAAAGTTCATCCTCCCCACTCAAGCGGCCACCAGCGGCTCCTCGTCTCCATCCGTGTTGAATAAAGCGGAGGCGCAGCAGTGGAATTGCTCTCAATAAGGAGGGTGCACACAAGCGAGCAACACATTCGGCTCTTATTGAGAGCAATCCCACTGCTGTGCCTCCACTTTCAACTTGGACGGACCCAAAGTACCCAAGCTGCTGCATTGCCTGCCCCCCCTCCTCGGGCCTTGGGCTGGCACCACCAGCAGCTTGCTCAGATCCCTTAGGCTGCCTCTGCCAAGGAGAAGAGTGGTGCGGTTTTGTACCAGCTGGCTGGCCAGGCAAGGAGTAGGACAGGGGATGGTGGCTGGCTGGCTGGGGAGCGGGGATCATGGCTGCTTGGGGGGAGATCTGCCAAGCCTCAGGGCAGTGGCATTGGCAGTTCCCCCCACCCAGCTCACTTCCCCGGCTCCATTACCGGTAGCAGCTCCCTCAGCAAGTGCCTCATGGCCCTCACCATCATGTTTCCATTGCACAAGCTTCCTGGAGCTGAGAAGAAGTGCAGTTACTCTGCCGCCAAGCAGGTCTGGTGGGCGATGTTGCCTTCTGCTTTTCTTGCTGTGGCATTGGCTGCTGGTGTTGCCCTACTCAGAGGATGGCACGGTGATTAGTTGGCGGCCACGCAACAAATGGGGATTGATTATTCCCCAAACCCCACCACTGTCAAAGGAGGAGGAGGAACAGGGAAAACAAAGAAGAAAATTGGCTGAGCCGGCCAGGCACCGAAGCCCCTCTGAAAAAAATGGAGTCTCTTTGCAAGCCTGCCTAGCCCACATCATCCTTGCTCTCCACAGCGTGCTGCAGCTGATCCAAGGCATGGAGAGCACGGCTGACGGGTGCGCGCATAGCAGGCATGCACACGGACTCCGCTGGTTTTGGTGGCGCTTCTGATCAGCTGCAGCAACCCTAACCCCATCACTGTCAAAGGAAAAAAGTGAAGTCTGTGTGCACTCCTGCCTTGCCTGTATCAGCCAGGTTCTCCATGGCATGCTGAAGCTGATCAGAAGCACCGCCAAAAACAGAACCGGGGAATTGGGCCAGATGGGGGGGAGCTGCCAATGCTGCTGCCCTGAGGCTTGGCAAATCCCCCCCCAAGCAGCCATGATTCCCCCTCCCTAGCCAGCCAGCCACCATCCCCTGACCTACTCCTTGCCTGGCCAGCCGGCTGGCACAAAACCTCACCATTCTTGTCCTCAGCGGCAGCAGCCTAATGGACCTGAGCAAGCTGCTGGCAGTGTCAGCCCAAGGCACAGGGGTGAGGGGGAGGATTTTCGCTGCCAGACTCTAACTCTTTTACTTCTTAAAAGTTTACTTGATGCAGAATGCATATCCTTCCCTTTCTGCATCAAGTTAAACAATCTGGTAGCGAAAATCCAATAGTGGGGAAAAAATCCCAGTCTCAAGCATGGGGAATCTGCACTGCCTGCCTCCACCCTGGAAGGTGCCCTGCTCTTTGCAGAAGATCTGGGAAGGGGCCCAATCCTGCAAGATGCTGAGGTAGCCGCGCTCCTGGACCTCACCTCTTTCTTGGTCGCATCTCCAGATGGTTGCCACGCTTTTGGCTTTGACGGTGCTGGGGGGCAGCTTGTCCAGAGAAATGGTCAGCGGAAAGATGACTTTGTCAGTGGACATGATGGGCTCCTCAGGGGGGATGGCCATTGCAGTCTTCCCGGGGTGCCGGGGCCGTGGGTCAGGAGCACCTGGTACTCCTGGAAGATGCTTCTGTTGGTGGCTGCCTCTCTGGCTCCAGCTGCACCCTCCTCCACTGCTTCACCAAGGAGGGCCTCGTCTCCAACATCGACACCGATGCCAGCTGGGCCAAGAGCAAGCCTGCCAGTTTCCCCCAGGGTGGCTGCAGAGTGCCGCTGGCTCCCGAGCAGCACCACAGGACCAGCAAGAAGCAGACCATCTTACCCAGATAGAGATGGTTCCTCTGGGGCAAGGCCCGGTACCAGCCTGGCTTCCCCAGGAGCACCTCGTGGGCCAGGAAGGGCACAGCCGGGAAATACATGTAGTCGCACTGGGACTCCATGCAGGTAGGCAGGCTGGGCAGCAGGCGAGCTCCCAGCTGGATTGTGAGAGGCGGCTGCTGCTGCTGCTGCTGCACTGGCAGTGGCTGCTGGCGGGGCGTGTGGCAGTGGGGCTGGGGCAGCAAGGCATGGGCGGCTGGGGTCCCCCTAGTTGGGCTCCGAGTGGGCAGGTGCAGAAGGAGAGGACTGTGAGGCACATGAGAGGCGGATTTGGGCCAGGGTCCACAGGTCCATTAGGCTGCCACCACCACCAGGAGGCCTGGCCTGCCCAACACAAAGGAGGCAAAATGGCCGGCTAGCAAGTCCTGCGTGGAGGTGCATACCTGCACCCAGCAGGCAAAAGGCCACCCCGAGTGGGGAACGCCAGATCCCAATTGGCACCATGCTCCCCCAGTCCCAGAAGAGACAGGGGGAGGCACGCAATCCTTGCTGGGACTGGGGATCCATGGCGCCAATCGGGATCCGGCTTTCCCCACTCGGAGTGGCCTTTTGCTTGCTGGACATGGGCATGCACCTCTATGCAGGGCTTGTTAGCCAGCTGCTTCACCTCCTTTGTGCTGGGTGGGGCTACCGCTCTGGGCTGCGGCAGCCTAATGGACCTGCGCAAGCTGCTGGCAGCAGCAGCTGCGCATGTGCCCACAGAAATGGCTCTGCGTGCCGCCTATGGCATACGTGCCATTGGTTCGCCACCACGGTTCCAGTCCAGAACCTGAATTGTCTGCATTCCTGTCTGAAACCAGAAATTTGTTTGCACTGTTTCCTGCAGCTCCTTCTACTGTACAAGATTCCTGTTTCTGTCCTGTAAAGAATTTGAGCCAATATTTTGCCTTCAAAAAGTTTTAAAGTCATGGGAACTAATTATCTTCTGCCAGTGCAAAAGAAATGTTTGATGGCTTTCATTGATCTAAGGGCTGATCACACTTGGCCAAATATTCTGCTCTGCTCTGCTCTGCTCTGCTCTGCTCTGCTCTGCTCTGCTCTGCTCTGCTCTGCTCTATTCTATTCTATTCTATTCTATTCTATTCTATTCTATTCTATTCTATTCTATTCCACTCTACCCTACCCTACCTTATTTTAATTCTATTGTGCATTCCATGTACCTTTCAAGAGGAAAATTACCCCCAAGGTGTTTAAATGTGCTGACTTATTCTAATTTATGCCCTTCTACTCTCCAGGGATACTGCTTAGTGAAATCCAAAATTTTTGAATTATCAAAATTGAAAATCAAATGATTTTATATGCAGTACATGAAGTACATACAAGATATTGCTATGTGTGCTCTGTTCAGCCCAGAAGTTTGTGAAAATTATAGTAGCATCAGCATATAGAAGTATTTGAATTTTGTACTATGATAAATTGGGTGCATGAATATCCATGTTTTGAAAAAGGCCTACCAATGAATTAATATAGTGATCGAAAAGGGAAGGAGCAAGAACACATCCTTGTGGCACTCCTTTTTCCAAGTTTACTGTGCCATAGAGGGTCCAATGGGGGTTAGATGCAATAAATAAACAGGGGTTTGATAACAAAATCATGACCACTAAATGGCAGCTTTAACTCCCCTCTGGTGGATGTTGTTGCTTTGAAATGTCTTTCCAGCCAACTCCCTGAACTTTTGCTTCCTATTGACAAATGGAGGTCTTGGAACCTCTGCCTGCTCCAAACTATGGCCTCTTCATGAATGAAGGCAAATATACAGTACCTGTCTCAGGATAATGTGGCAAGATCCAATCTGGGTTGGTCACCAGGACCACAGGTCTAAGCTTTTGGATTTGTGCTGGAGCCCAGCTTCAAGGAACTTCCCTCTATAGAATATGTCTACATCCCTGAGGATGGACTCCAGCACAAATCTGAAAGCTCGGAGGAGTAAACCTCTGGTCCTGATAACTGACTCAGATTGGATCTATGCCCCTTCCTCAGGACTCCAGGATGGATGCTGTGAAATGCAAATTCAAAATGACTTTTAAAAGGTTCTAGGTCAGGATTTATGTTTAATACACAGAATAAACATCTTCTTTAGGATGATGTCACCTTCCTTGTCCCAAATTAATAAAAATTCTTACTAAAACAAAACAAAACAAAACAAAACAAGAGAGCCTCATATGGCTTTTAAAATCTGATGCTCTGGATGTCTATCTTACCTGTGGTAACTTGTAGATGCTCAGAATGGTTGCCATGAAAAGACAAGCTTTGGAGTCGGGTCCCCCAATCACAGCTACAGTAGTACTTTGGGCATCACATTTATAGTTTGGAATGAATCTGCCCCATGTGGAGAGGAGCTCCAGTGAAGCAAGATAAGTTAAGCTTCCAGTGAAGTAGGCATTATAAATTTTGAAACCCAAGGAGATGTTGCGCAACATCTGGGTATCATCGTTAATCTCCTTCACAGCAAAGACAAGAGCCAAGATGTGCTGGTAGGTCTGAGTCAAAAATCTGTAATGAGATTTACCTGTACCAGTGAATTGTCTCTACTTAAGAAGTTTAAAGCTTGCTAAATTCCTATTCCCTTAATATATAGATATTGTATTTTGTAATATTACAGGATCATATCCGAGCAACTTCATGATGAAACTCAGGAGTAGGTTCTCAACTATTTTCAACTGAAAAGATGGGATTCAGCAAAACTCTCTTTGTTTTGGCAGAACATCCATAGACTTTCTAAGGCACCATGACAAAAGGGTACGTTTTTCAAAACCTAGCATAAAAATGTATACATTTCAGTGAGCTGCATTTAAATCTCCATCTAACTATCTCTGTCTAGAGGCTGATTCCAAATGCATGTTAGTGTTAACTTTCATTTTTAACAAGGGAACATCTGTGACAGAAAATAAGAAGTGACC